TCAACATTGCTCCATGCATAAATGACAACTTGGCTTGCCATACTTTGCTCCCAAGATGTTGTTCTTGGCCGGTTCGGATGGAAAGATGGATATCAAATATTGGGATTTTGTTATGAGATTAAATAGTAATTAATTGTGGTCTCATATGTTTAATATTTTGCTCAGTCGCTATCCAGATTGACCCATAATGACTCGGATGTAAAACAACAAACTCTACCCAAAGTTGTCGTCCCTTAAACTCACTTACTGTTTGTCAGTGTAAGGAACGATAACTCTGGGTAGAGTGCTGTCGTTCTATTGTCACTGTGTGAAGGAGTTTACTCGCATTTACCTCATTGCTGAATCCCACACAGAGGAGATAACTGCCGATTTTTTTAACAAACAATATTCTGCCATTATCTACTGGTTCGGCCTAATCATAGCACGGCTTTTCGATATGCGATGATCTAGTTTGTGACCTTTACCATAAATAACATGGCGCTGTCCAAAGTAACGGATGCGATTTTAGACCTTCCCGTGAGTGTGAAGGCTGTGGGCGGGGCTGTGCTCGCAGGGGCAACGCTAGCTGTTGTTTGGAGGGGTCGTTGGGCCCGTCAAACCAACAAGTATGTCTTATTTAGTTTGTACATTCGTTAAATGATATAAATAGATTCTCTAATAAACAGGTGCTGTAGTATTGTTAGCTTCATATCTCTCTACAGCTCCAGCCCTTTGACGAGTTTACCTTCATCTTAAGGTGGCTCGACCCTAGGAAATACCCGTTATTCTTATCGTATTTACGTTTCGTGTATCAGCATTTCAATACCGTTGTGTAGATTATAATAACACCTAGTAATTACTATTGATACATGTGTGCGACTATGATACGTCGCAAACACGACATCGAGACGTTACTCGGACATGTGTGTGTAGTGGACCGATATATACCTATATGACATAGATTGACCGCTAGGAAGTTACTGACTCGGAACAAGATGATTTTAAGATTTGTGTATTAAATGAAATATTTGCTAGTTTAATTAATAATGATTCTATTTCTTATTGTTGTTATATTTCCGAACAATGCCAAACCCCCCAAAACAGGACAATTGACAACAAATCAAGTTTTTTCCAAAACCCATTACCATTTATCAGAAGCCATATTATTGTGTGTAAGTTTCAGCTGATTTGGCTGACTCAGTGTGAAGCTTTGGTGGAGTGTCCTTAATGAAATATCAAATACTACATGTAGCTGAGACCGTTTTCATGGTCTCGATAAGCGACAAAACTTATCTGTCACGATGTTTCCATAATGTTTTGAGACGTTTTCAATCGAATTGATGATTGTTTCCAACAGGAAGGTATACCCTCGGGATACAATTGTTATCCATCAGATGGGACGTGGTCCTCACGTGCCCAGTCTTACGCCCTTTGCTATTAAGTTAGAGACGTACTTCCGGATGGAGGGCATTCCCTACCAGGTATGTATTCTCACGTGTTTCCCGGGACAGTTAATCAAAATTCTGTTCTCCTCAGTACATATTTTTTTTTCTTGTTGCAATAGAATATGTTTTGATATTTTACAAACATGAATAACCACGATTTCAGGGCGTGCGCTCAGTTTATACCATACAGTACCTGAAAATGATGATTCTTTATCGCTTCCGATTGTTGACATTAAAATTAAGTGTTTACCGCATACATGACCACAGATTAACCTATTTAGATGCGATAGTTTTTCTTTAACGCTAGTAAGAATGAGAAACCATAGTAGCATTAGATAATTGCTACCTACGTCAGGGGAAAACAAATCATAATTAGTGGTGTCTATTTTATTCTCCGTCGTTGTAAATTATATTTGATTGTCAAAATCTTTTTAGCCCACTAATATCAGATGATGGGCCGTTCAAAACACCCTTCGTGTGTCGTCTGTTCTTCCATCTGTCGTTAAACAATTTTAGAATTCAATGTCTGTTTTTGCTTTTTCTCAGAAAGTACTCGAAGGATATTCTTTAAACAAATAAGTTTCTTGCTTTCCGTAGTTGTTCGTATTTAATTTTGTGTTAGGATGATCGGAAAACCAAAATGGCCGAGAGACCAGAATCTTGAATATTGATAACTTAAGTTTATTAGCACTATACTCAGAAAGCATTCGAGGGATATTTCTCAAATTTTACATATAGTCTGTTTTTATGCAAATATTAGTAACACTAGTTGTGATTTCCGGCTGGAGATCGTCATACAGCTGTGATTCACGGCTGGTTGTTATCACACAAAATTAAATTTCCGGCTGGTTGTAGTCACATAAACTGTGATTTCCGTTTGGATCTAGTCACATAAACTGTGATTTCTGGATGGATATTTTCCGTCTTGTTGTAGTCACGCAAACATACACATTGCGATTTTCAGATGGAGGTATTCACACGGAGTGAAGCTGTCCGACTAAATGAATATCCGAAAGGGGGAAGCGTAACATAGCAGGTTATTGCCGCCTGGTGATATTGACATTATAGTACTTCCATTTGGCTCCTACTTTGCTAAAAATCTGTTTAAAAAAATGTATGTAATTAATTGGTAACATTGCTTTGAACTGTATATTTTGTGTTGCAGACAGAACATAGTTTGTTTAGGAAAAGTAAGAAAACTAAAAAGATACCCTTTTTGATGTACAATGATGAAGAAGTGCCAGATAGCGAGTTTATCCTGGAGTTCCTTAGTAAGGAAAAGAACTTTGACCTGCATAAGGGCCTCACAGAGGAACAGATCGGAATCGGCAGGGCTTTCCAGAGAATGACAGAGGAAAATACTTACTGGTAGGATAGCATGTTGTCATATCATAAGTAAGACTGGGACAATATAAGCTGGTAAGCTAGAATTGTGTTTTAGTATATCAAATCATAAGTTAGCATTGAACAATACCTGCTTGTTAGCTAGCAGTTAGCCTGGGACAATACATGTT